TTGGAAGTCCCAATTACAGCCTATAGTTGCTTTATCAACCACAGAGGCTGAGTATGTAGCTACCACAGAAGCTGTGAAGGAAGCTTTGTGGCTTAAGGGACTATTATCTGAAATTAGGATGTTAAATGAACCTGTAATTGTTTATTCAGATAGCCAAAGTGCAATACACTTGTGTAAGAATCCTGTTTTTCATGAAAGAACCAAACACACAGATGTAAAGTTACATTTTATTAGAGATATTGTCTCAAATGAATCTGTTCTTTTTGAAAAAATTCCTACACAGTACAATCCATCAGACATGGGTACAAAGGTATTGCCTCTTTCTAAGTTTAAATCATGTTTGGCACTTTTGAATATTGATATGGGTTAATTTTTTAAATGCAGGTACAACTTGGTGTCAATAGGAGAGCAAGTGTTCAGAAATCCCATTGGCATCAAGGTAGAGGTTGTTGGGCTGTGATGACCAATGACCTTTCTGGGCTGTGATGACAAATGGGCTAAAGCCCAATAACTGTTTTAAGAATTTAGACTCTTGCCCAATAACATGACCCGATCCGCCCCGGTCCAATGGTAGATAAAACGTGTTTTTGGGCGTGGCATATTTTTAATGCAGCTAAACACGCCTTCTTCAGTTATAAGGATGCCTCCTGACCATCGGATTAAAACTTGATCTAAGGGTGCCTTTGTTGGATATAAATACTTGGCCCCCTTTTGCCCTAATTCACTTGGACCGTCATTTTTCTCTACTCTCCAGTTGCGGCTGAGGTTCGAGAGTCTTCCAAACCCTCTCTTCTTCTTCGTGAGAATCCAATCTCTGATTGGATCTAGTTTCTGTGTGATTCCGTCTTTGTGATACATAATACTGTGTGTATTGGAGAGTTTGGTGTGTGATTTTACCCCTTGTGGTTTCCTTTAATCTGATAGAGGGAAACCTTAGGGCTTGGGGATCGGTGTGGGTCATACAGACGGGTACAATCCTGTCTTTTCTTTGAGTCTGAGCCCTATTGTTGAAAGGACCTTCAACTTGATGCCGTGTGGTTCGAGTTTGGGTGAACGGTTGAGGATTTGTTATTCTGCCATATTTTCTTGTTTATTTCTGTGGTTTTGTACTGATAGTTTGTTGTAACAATTGTAACACTAGCTTGGTTGCAATGTCATTTATAATGCCTGTACATGCGAATACGATGACAAGTAAAACTTTCATACAAAAATAAGTTTGCTATTTTTTCTAGACAAATTGTTGACTTTCTAAATAACTAGCAATTAGGGTTAACATTCTACAATAATAAAATTACTGCGTCTCTTACTTTTTTCTACTTTCATTATTCATTCTTATAGATCAAGTTGATTGTGTTTCAACGATTTCGGCTATTGAATTATTATTTCTCTTCCATATTTGTTGGTGGAGAGGAGGCGGAATACACATATCATAGATTATTATTTTTCAGAATAATCTTATATTATGATTTTGAAGTAGATAAGGGTCTAAGTTCGAGTATCGTCTATCTCTACTCCTCTCTAAATAAATGAAATAAATACAACATATAATAGATGCTTTTGCATGATGCAGTTGAAATTTTCATAATCAGTTTTGCTAATATATTCCTTTTTTAAAAACTCTTTGCATAAAAATATCAATTTATCACTCCATAATACATCGTACTATTTTAGATAAAGTTGTTATGACAATATAATCAAACTCATACGTTGACTTTATCTATTCATAAAAAATGAACTTTTTATTAAAAATGACTTTTAGATTAATATCACGTGATTGTAACAATTCATTTCTTAACAGAATAAAGGACCCAATAAGATGCACTACAATATGTTGTTGGGCAAACTACTTAATTATTTTACCCTTAGAATAATTTAATTAGGCAAAACATGTGAAATGAAGATTAGGTATATCAAACGTTAATACATGTCCAATGTAGACACAAACATGATGACTAAGTGAAACACAAAAATAAAACATATCCAGTGAAATATAATAAGCTATATTTGATTACTGTATCAAACAATAAAACATGTCCAAGTAATTTTTAAGTCCCTATTTGACAAAACATTTTGAAATTATAAGCTGATGGATCTCGTGAAATACCATATATGTGATTAAAAGTTTTTAAACATTTTGAATCCAATGGAATGTGTGGCTAAAAGTAAAGTTTAAAATCAACTTATAATTTTAAAAAAAAAAAACTATCAAACAGGAGCTAAGTTATGGAGTGTTATAATGATTCTACTATAATATCCAATCTTGATCACTAGGATTTTATTGAGTTGTTGAACTATTTAGTCGAGTTACTTGATATAAAAAAGAATAGGTAAGTATAACTCACTTAAGGCTTGTTTGCCGATTTTAAAAAAAAATAAAAAATAAAAGAATGAATCCTCTAGATCATTTTCAAACAAACATTCTATGAGACCCACAACTTTTCTCCACTTTTTAGTCACACATTCTTAAAAATCATTTTTCCCTAAGAAAAAAAAGGTGTTAGACAAGCTTTTATTCAATTTTGAATTGATCTGCAATTTTTGGAAAGGAACAAACTCAAAAGTTTTTGGTTCAAATAATGAAGATTTATATATCTTGAACACTTCTCATTATGTGTTTACTTTGGACCGTGTTTTTTTGCAATGAAAACGTGGATAACAAATGTCGGGCCTCTCACATCCACACAAACAATTTCCAACACATTTTGACCAGAAACACAGTTGGAGGATCACAATGATAATGTATGTGAGAGACACTTTACGACATGAGACGAGCACCGACAATATCATAAAGAATGACTACAAATAAAAGATCAATCGTGAACAAATCTATCCAAAATGAACCCAATCTCATGCATCTAGAAGATTATGATTTCAAGCAGATGAAGTTTTTTATGTTTTTTTTTTTCCAAAAATCCCTTTACATGTTACAAGAGCTGTTATTTATAGAGTTAAGGCCGATGTGGTCATCATTGGATCAGAACCACGTGGTTGCCTCCCACAGTCGGTGCCTCACATCACTCTCTACCCTACTTTAATCACATTGACAAGGAGTCACCCGTACTACATCCTATGCTGACACTTCTGACATTCATTGATACAAACGTTACATTAATCATTCCTACAGATATTCTTCAGACCCGCTTTAATGGCAGCAGGAGCTTCGGCTTTAAGAGAGAGCTTCGAATGCTTTTTGGCTTGGTTAGACGAGGAAGTGCTTCAGTCAAAGAGCAGCTTGTTCCCTTACTTCATTTTTTGATCTTGTTGACTGCCAGTTGTCTACGTGTAGTGCATTTGCGTGGTCTCCATTGAGAGATTCAGATATGAAGAGTAACAATTGTCCCTCAAGTCTATGTATGGTCATTTCTTTAGTGCATGAACTTTGTGTAACTTTAAAAATTTTGTTGGGGGTGGTTGTAACCATCCAAGATAGTCCCCAAGTCTAATTGTGAATATTTATATAAGAATTGGAATTCAAAAATGTAATTAAACTGAGATGTGCAAAGTTCTTATCAGAGCTGAGATCCATTTGATAGATGCTGTGTGACTTAGTGTATTGTTGAAGCTTCAAATGTGAAGGCCAAAGTGGTCTACTTTAGCGATTGAACAAAGTTGAAAGGCAATAATTCTGAGGTATACTAGCTGAAGCGTTTACGAATACAAGGTCCTTAATTATTGTGTTGAAATGATAGGCTGTCTTTTGCATTTTCCAGTAAAGACAGATGAAGCGATTCAGTTTCCCACACATGCAACCGTCATCGCATTTAGTGAGTAATGATAGCTGTCATGGGCGTCTTTTTGGTACTTCAGGCACGTTGGAACGTGTGGCACAGACGCTCTAATCTGGGTCATAGAAGGTGAAATGGTAGACATGATTTTCGTGGTTCAAATTGAATTTCAAAGGAACAGTTGGATGATCCAGATCGACATCTAATGGTTAGGATTAAATGCCTCTACCTATAAAAGGCGACAACCTAGGGCAAAAATCACTTTTACCTTTGCTGATAACAAAATTCAAATTTTCTCACAGAATTTCCTCCTTGTTCTTCCTATCTTTTTTAAACTTTCCTTCAAGTCTTCCTTTTGCGATTTCCAATCAATTCTGTCCAGTGTCTTTTTGTCTAAATTCATAAGTATTCAAAATTTTTGCACTTGTTTCAATGGCTTCTTCACCTTCTGGGGGGAGGGGGGATTATGAGGTTAGTCAGGTGAAGTTTTTTAAGTATTTATTTTTTGTCAAAAATCCCTTTACATGTTACAAGAGCTGCTATTTATAAAGCTAAGGCCGACGTGGTCACCGTTGGATCAGAACCACATGATCTCATCCCAGCAGCTGGAGCCTCACATCATTCTCTGCCCTACATTAATTACATTGACAAGGGGTCAGCTGCCCTACATCTTATGCTGACACTTCTTAATTACATTAATACAAACATTACATCAATCTTTCCTACAAATATTTTTCAGACCCGCTTTAAAGGGAACAGGCGCTTCGATTTTGAGTGAGAGTTTTGGATGCTTGTACAATCAAAAAAGAGAATTTCTAAATGGCCAGGGCGAGCTACTATATGGCCAAGGCCTTAGCCATCCAGTGGTGCCTCCCCTATTGGTGGGTGGTCTGTTGTGCCCTGGCCAAGTAGCTTTATTTATCAGAAAGTTAGATTTTTTTTCTTTTTTTTTTTTTACTTCTATAATTGACTCTAATATTAGGATACTCATTAAATTAGAAATAAGAATGGGATGGAGGAAGTAGTAGAAATAATCAGCGGAGATCTTATGTTAAAGACGATGATGGGAAGGAAAAAAATAAAAAAACTATATATACAATTAAAATACTAGTTTCCATAAGCACCAATTTGTAATTTTTTTTGGTCTGTATTGATAATTGAATAAAAGTTCTAATTATCCCACATTATATTAATGTTTATCCAATCTAAAATAGGATGAAGTTCAGAACTGTCTAGCGAATGCCAGTTTACTCCTAGTGTTTCGAAATTTTTGGATTTGTGTTCCACATTAATTTTGCTTAGATATTTTTAGATTTCAGAAGGATATACTCACTTCAAATGAGGATAAAAGCTAGTGAGTTGGCAAACCGGCTGTGGGAACAGATTCCGAAATTATCGTACTCCAATATCACAAAACTAGTTAAAGAGACTCGAATATTTCATGATGCTGCAAAAATAGGGAATGTTGAGCTTCTGACTCTCCTTACTCACTCATATCCTGATCTTATATGGGAAGTCAACAAAGAGAAACACTCCATATTTCATATTGCAGTTATTAACCGACAAGAAAAAGTGTTCAATCTCATCTACCAAATAGGAGCTAATAAGGATTTAATTACACTCCTTGACGATAGTAAAAAGAACAACATTCTGCATTTGGCCGGGGAAATAGCACCTCCAAGCAGACTTAATATTGTATCTGGTGCAGCTCTTCAAATGCAGAGAGAGCTACTATGGTTTAAGGTGAGAAATTAACAAGGTAGTGAAATTTGATTTCTTATTTATCTTGAATATATATGGGACCATGTTCCTTGAAATCTCTAATTGATTATTCTATGTAATAATTAGACACCGCATGAGAGATAGATTTTGGATGATTTTGCAAAATGCAATAATTTGAGTAAGCTTTTCAGGAGGTGGAGAAGATTGTATCACATCCATTACTTGATATGAAAAACAAAGATGGCAAAACACCAAGGGAGTTATTTTCCAAGAAACACAAGCAGTTAAGGAAAGATGGTGAGAAGTGGATGAAGGATACATCATCTTCTTGCATGGTCGTGGCAACTCTAATTGCCACCGTCGCGTTTGCTGCAGCCTTTACTGTACCAGGTGGCAATAATGAAATACGCACTCCAGTATTCTTGAAGAACATATGGTTCACAGTTTTTGTTATATCTGATTCGGTGGCAATGTTCAGCTCGGCAACTTCCATAATGATGTTCTTATCTATCTTAACTTCACGCTATACAGAAGATGATTTTCTATTTTCATTATCGGCAAAGTTGATGGTTGGACTGATTTCACTCTTTGCTTCAATTGTTTGCCTGGTCTTAACATTTAGTGCAACCTTCTTTTTGGTCTACAACGAGGAAAAGCATGGGCAGTTGCCAAGACTTGTTGCTACTCTTGCTTGGCTTCCAATCACTATTTATGCAGTGCTAAATCATAAGTTAGGGATTGCTCTAATCCACTCGACTTGCTGGCCTGCTGTGCTTATGTTTCGACGAGGCAAGCACAGGCTCTACTAATAAAATGAGCTACTGTACCTTTATTTTTGTTTTTATTTTTACGAAAAAAGTGGGTCGTGCTTTCAAGTGCAACACAAGTTGAAAAGGTTTCTATTTCTTATTTCCATGGTTCAATTCTGTGAGATGTCTGGTATCCGAGGGCTTTGTACATCTTTAGCTCAATATTAATATCTGGTGTTATTGATATTTAGCCCTTGTTTGTTGGAAAATAAAATCAAAAATTTCAGTAGATTTTGATAAACTTTAATGAAATGTGTGGTTGAGAAGTTATGAATCCCATTAAATATGTGGTTAAGATTAATTATTAATTTTTACTTAAATTACAGGAAATTAACTTTGTCGTTCCTCTAGTTGTGAAAATATGCATGCCCAATCACACCTAAAATTGCAGTATAATCTTCCATATACTGTTCATTGCTTTATAGAGTCTAGTCAGTACGTCTAATCCTACATGATTCAGACACTTCTTCCTAATTAAACGATTAGAATTATGACAACCTCTTTATAAATAAAAAAAACGAAACAGTAATATAAGAAATTTTAGTACCTAGAAAACACTGAAAATATATCTCTCTGCTTCAAATTCAAAGAGAGAGACATAT